TATCAGTGGGGTCCACTTCCGATTTGGGTCGGGTCAAAGTGGATTCGGGTTCTTCGTAGTGAGACGAAGAGATTGATATATTGTACGCTCAAAACGGATAATGGGTGAATGAGATATTGATTCTCAAAGTAGACCCATTTGAGTTAGGAAATGAAGGGAAAATAGTGGACTTTGTCCCACATTGGTTTGGAAACAAGATTTGCCCCCCTTATATACATGAGCTCTTTTGAAGCTTGTAGAATTGTATAGCATAGAGGCTCTCTCGTGCGTGGCGGGGGCCAAATCAAAATCCAACTAGAGGAGATCGAAAAGGCTTGAAATCAGCGTGCGTCGGTTGAACAGATTAAACTCATTGTTACGGAATTAATACTGTTTTAATTCCAATTTTAAATTCTGAGTTTAATCCTACTTAGTGGTGACCGTTACAGGTGTTATACAATTGGTTTAATACCAATTAAAGGTCATGTTGAATGCTATCCCTTCCAACATCCCTATATAAAGAGAGGTAGAGCAGTAGCATTTTACACACAATGAGAAACAAAAGGAATTCCAGTACAGTTTTCTGCTCTCAAAACTCTGCTTCTACTCTCTTCTTTAGCCAATCTGTGTTCTAGCTTTGCTTTGTTTGCCGGGTTCCTTGTTTAAGTGCTTAAACAAGGAATCGTAGCACGTTTTTATCCTGGGAAACCTAGGCTACAACGCTCCTAGCACTTGTGGGAGGTAGCAAATAAGGTTTTAAGGAAAAGAACTTCGTGTTCGAACTCGTGCTAAACCTTTACCCAAACACTCAACATTTTCCTTCCCAATTCTTTCTGTTTTCCCATATAATATTAATCTTTCCGTAGGATTATTATTATTTTGGGATTTTTCAACTATATTACCCAACAAGTCACAGCAGTGTCATTTGAATATAAGGTGTTTGATTATATATATATATATATATATATATATATATATATATATATATATATATATATATATATATATATATATGCGCGCGTTTTGACGAATGTGCGCGCAATAGCGATTGATGTTTTAAATGTAAGTGTGTGACTATTATTTTGAAATTTCGTGGTTTGTCTATTGTAGCCTCACCGACAGAAATGCCATTTACTCCGTAACAAGTACAAAAGTAGGGGGCCCCAAACGGAGCCCAGAAAGCAAAGTCCAATTTTGTCAGACATCATTCACATTCAATAATTCGCAAATATCCACCTCACAATAATCAAATATTAATTATTTTATGATAATAAATTGTGTGGGCTGTAAACAACAAAACCAAATTTGCATCATTTCCCTCCTTCCACGTATATATGTTCAATAAATGCCAACAACTGTTCACACATCACATAACCTAATTTTTATTTTATTATTGCATCAATATTTTAGCTTTTACTCCGTATATTGTTATTATTAAAAAAAATTGTGAAAAAAAAAAGTATTTAGCGGTTCAACTGCTGCTTAGGAGTAGTTCTTTGAAATGGATGAGATTGGACGGTGTCTATCATCTCTAATATAATTCTCACGTGCAAAATTTACGGAGTATATTAACTCAGGCAGAAATAAAAATCAAAATAAATGACACTAAAATTAAATATAATAAGTAAATGCTATTTTAACACAATTAGCGGTTACAAAAGGACAAACGTTATTTCATGGTAAGTCAAAGGTTTTTGATTTCTCTCTCTCTTTCTTGAAAGGTAGCGTGAGGTATTTATAAAGGCAAGTCAAACACATGCCAGTGCCTCGTGCTCAATGCACTGGGCGATTAAATCGGCATTGCCAAGTGTCACGAAATATCTGTTAGCGTAATGAAAGTGCGATTGGATGTGGTACATCCTTGACGTGATTGGGGTTCTGGTCGGAAAATATACTCAGCTCGTAAAAGGCGTGGCATCTTGTATAGAACGTTCGGTATAGGTCGATCGGGATAGGGTAAGGTCAACAACTACACATAATACTACTCAAATGCATGCCCTATCAGACCTGATGCGACATTTTAACTACACAAAATTGTTATATGTATTGTCATTCGATTTATAAAATGAAAAATTATACCGTGTCTCTAAAAACGTGTCGTGTTTGACAATACATATTGAGTTTATGCTCAAAATCTCCCGAATTGAATTAATAATATGAATTAGTTTTAAAATAAGTGGGATTTAAAAGGGATGGAAACCCTGAAGTCAAAACTCAAAAGAAAAAAGGAAGGAAAGTGCTCTCTTTCCCTTCAACTTTCAAAATCAAATGACTTCTTTTTCTTTTGCATTAGATATCACACAGTAATATTTTAATAAAATTATAAACAGATTATATTATCTATGGCATCGCTTTCATACACGCAGAAAGCATCCAACGTAATGGTCCCCAAGGAAAAAAAAAAAGAAAAAAAAAAAAAAAAAGAAGACAAAGTATCCAAAGTGATGTAGCACCAGAAGAAAATTATTTGAATATTCAAGCAAGATTATTTTATTTTAGGGTTAATTTTAATTTTAATGATATTTTCACATTTAATTATATCCTTTTAATTTTATTATTGACGATATAATATATAAAACATTAACGTGCAATCTAATTATTAGTTTTAAATTTTTAGTTGAGACTTGAGATAATAGATATTGTCCCTCTTTGGTGACATAGTTAGCTTATCAGTCAATTTTGACTTATTTGACTATTATTAGTTGTTTGATTTTGTTAAAAAATTACTATAAGTGTTTGATTAATTAGCTATTTGTAATGGATTATTGCTTCAAAACGCTAAAATTAAAAAAGGTACTCAAAGTAGCTTTTTCGATAAGTTTTTTGATAAAGTCATTTTGCATTAACATCTAATTTACCAAATATTTTCCTACAATCAGCTAATGTTACCAACTAGTCAAACCCACACACAATCAACTAACAACTATTTACCAAACACCCCATTATTTAATTTGACATAAGAATCATACCTATGTGAAATGTCATGAACTTTAACTTCTTCTTTTTTGTTAGATTTAATTTTATCATTTTGAATTGTTTGTCAGATTTAATCACCGACCAATACTGAATATGTCAAAAAAGTTGAAGTAAAAATGTAACGTAGGCAATTTTTTTTTTTAATTTTTTTTTTTTTTTAAGTGTGTGAACTAAAATTGGGATTAAATGTTTATTTTATTGTTATTTTTGGCAGTGGCGGAAAAGGGTTTGCAGCACTTTCATAGTTACATGTACTTTATGGATTTCAAAGACATAAAAAGTGGTAAAAGCGAATAATTCCAATCCGCGGGAACAAGATTAGGATCGTTCTAACAAAAGCCAAAAGGTCAATATATACCGTAACAAAAATATAAAGTAGAAGTGTTTGCATATAAAAAGATGAATTTGAAACTATTTTCTTTTGGGACAAAAGTGATGAAAAGTGTCGAGGTGTTATTCGTTAATAGTCTCAATAAATTGGTCACCCACATACCACATTTTGTAACAAAACATCACTAGCATTTAATTATTCTTGCGGTCTTGCCTATAAAGGCAAAATTCGATCATTTCTAGACTCTCATATCTCATTTTAGTCCAGACAGAATAGTTGAGGGTAAGATTACTTATCGATTCATTAGGTGATAGGATCAGTGCCTAATGCCTACAAGGAATTTCACCATATTAGGAATAATCTTTACGCTGCAATTGTCAGAACTCGATCTTGTATAATTGTCCACAACTGAGTTGTCCGTGCAGACACCTTAGGAGTATTATTCTTGGTAGTAAATATGAATGACTTTTATTTCAAAAAAATTAAATATGAATGACATTAAATAATATAAAATTTGATGAAAAATAATTGAATATGAATTATTTTTTCCTTGTGAATTATGGAAATGCTAATCCCTGTGAGGTTGATTATGATAAAAAAATACATTGATTTGATAATGATGCTTCCTCAAGATAAAGTTAGAGAGGCGGCCATATCCATCATCACCATTTAGGAGACATCTATCTATCCATCCATCATCAATCCTTTAGCTCTTTGTCCTATTTTTTGTCCAAAGGAAAGTGGGGTGCGGAATTTTGTCGGCAGATGAGGCCGAAAGGTTATTTCTTTATTCCTTTCCTCCCTTCCTTGGAAGTGGGCACATAGCTCTACGCCTCTACTTGAAGTTATTCTCAATAAATAAATACATAATATACCTTACCTTCAAGTAACATATTATCGATATGGACTGCTTTCCGTGATCGTGTTAAAACCAATATATGAATAAACCAACTGGCTAGTTTCCCGATTAAATTTGGGAAGCTTCTCGCTGGTATTGGACTTGACTACGATTACGATTAAGTAATTTTTCGATTAAGTTTGAGAAGTTTGTCGCTAGTCTTGGGCTTTACGATTAAGTAATTTTTCGATTAAGTTTGAGGAGTTTGTCGCTAGTCTTGGGCTTAACTACGATTAAGTTTGGGGAACTTGTCGCTGGTCTTAGAATTGACTATGAAGGAAATTGATGCGATTCGAAGAGCGACCAACTGGCTAGTTTTCCGATTAAGTTTGGGGAGCTTGTCGCTGGTCTTGAAGGAAACCAATGCGATTCGAATGGCACAACTGATCGAGAACTATTGTCGTTCCCTTGATAAGCCTGACATGGCAAAATGTGTCAGGCAAAATCAGTTTAACACGTATGCGAGTAAGTCTGGTCCGTGGAGATATGAGAGGCCCTTGTGTGCTGCGCTAGACTCTATATGTAAATGACATTAATTATGCTCCTATAAATACTAAAGACACATGTTAAATGCAAACACACAATCTGAATGTATTTTTTGGATCCGGATTCACATACTTCATAGTATAATAAAATATTCTGTTAAATGTAGATGCAATGATGAAATCTGAGGATTTTCAAAACTTTTCCCCAAGTGCAGGGCCAAACAGAATTATGAGCATGTTCAATCACTCATTTATAATCAATCTAGTTTGGGCAAATGAAATTTCACTGATATGATATCACACCACAACAAGAAGATTGGATGCACATTGCATTAGGGTATATAAACAAATCATCTTCCCATTCATGATCCACCAAATATGTACACAGAATTAAAACACAAGGGAAGAAAACCCCCCCATATCAACAACCATCCAAACATTACATCACTTCACTTGCTTCTTCACTACTACTTCTATCACAGCTTTCTTTCTTTCTTTCTTTCTTCGAAAGCTATTCCAGGCTTCACATACAATCCTCCCGGAGGTGGAGGTGGGGGAGACTTAGGCCGAGGGGGCTTTATTCTTAACACCCTCATCAAACCTTGTACCCCCAACTCGTGCTACTACTTCAACATCCTGAAATCTCAATCGTCTTCAAAAAATTTGCCTCTGCTTTCTCCTCACCTGCACTTGCACACAGTGTCACCGTTCAGCTAAATATCAAATCAGATCAGATCACTACGGCTAATCCACTTGCGGTTTTAACTTTTAATAACACCACTATAATCTTGTGGTTTAGGTTTAGGTTACAACTAACATTGAGAAACAACAAAACCAAAAGATTTTCTTTAAATCTTGATGACACAAACAATAGTTTAAGTCCCGTGACCAACCCTATTATGTAGAGTGATTGACTAAACTTTCTTTAATTATGGATGACATCGACATCTTGTCCAACTTCTCCAATCTCTAACCTATTTCAATATTGCCGGATCATTCAAATAATATTTTTTGTTTTGGTTTTGTTGTTTTCCTAATCCTTTATGAGGAAACTTTACCCTTTTTTCACTAAAAGATAATACTTTTCAAGCATAAAAAATCAAAGCTCAATTAAAGCCACAACAACCCCATACTATGCTTCTCAAACCCCAATACACCAAAAATCTTTCAACAGAAACTTAACTCGTGATGAGATTAGCAAATTCACAAGCGAAAAGGGTGACATTATTCGGTATAAAAATAGCATTTTTCAAACCAATAATAGCAATAGTAAACTCAACACAACTAAACTGTAACCCGGTTTAGTCGAGACAGGGTTATATATATGAATTTTCCATTCTATTTTCTCCGCTTAATTCTTGACATTCAATAGAACCAACCTAGTTCAAAGTTCATAACAAATATGAACACAATAGATTCTGCAAAAAATCTCATCAACAAAAAGCAAGTTGACTAAGCTTTTCACCACCAAAATTCCCATTTTTCTTAAAGTAGGTTCAGCTAACTATCTCACCAGTGCCACTATAATATAATATTTAGCAATTAATTTTATGGGTCACAGTTCAAGATAATAAACAAATAAATGAATAAATAATCGGAAAATCTATAACCAGTAATTAAGCTGTTAAGCATAAAGGGTTAACTCAGTAAACCACGAGTTGAATCAGAATTTAAGGGGGAGAACGTGAACTCACCGGAAAAATAGAAATCTAATCTTTGAAGATGACTGAATCCGCCATTTCCAACAGGGGATTGAGGCAATCGGGGGAGAATTTGCGGGCGAACATGTAAGAATACGTCGAATTCGATTTCCGGAGGGTGTAAATAAGCTCCGACGAAATCTCCGGCGGGTGGTAGGTATGGGGGTGGCCGTCCACCATGTCGGTCCAATTAACCCGGGTCAATGTGTAACCCGCGGAGCCTTTCGGGTCCTGCATTGAAATCAGGGTGGGGAAGTAGTGCTCTTCGGGGTAGCAGGATTCGACGTTTATGCAAGGCTTGCGGAATTTGCGCCAGAGCTTCCGATCTTTGATCACCAGCAAGGAATCCTTCCGGGTCAAGACGAAGAATTGTGACCCGACCCGGAACTCATCGAAACTGACCTCCGGCTCCATGACGTCCATCCCCCTCGCATTGTACCGGTCCCATAGCAAGGAGGAATCGGAGACGATCTCGATGTAGCTAGGGTACTGCATTTCGTGGGAGAGCTTTTGCGTATCGAGGAGGAAATTGTACAAGTAACCGAAGGAGTGGAGGGGGATACAGTGCTGAGATATGAGCGCGAAGAACTCGTTCGCCGGATCGTCCAACATGGCGGTGGCGAGGAGGCGGCGCGCGGCGGAGATTAGAGTAGGGGAGGACCGCTGAGTGGGCTTGGCAGGGATGAATCTGTCCTTAAACACTCCCGTCGGAGAAGCAATTTTCACATTCGGGTCGGCGTGGATGTAAACATTAAACAAGTGGGGATCCACCGGACGGGTGCCATTGAAGAAGAGCTGCCAGAGCGGGGCGAAGTGGAGGTCAGTGTTGGTGAGAAACAAGAACGCGATTTTGGGACGGCGGAGCGCGGCGGCGTTGGTGGATCCCAACCGGAACTTATTCGAAGGCGCCTTTGTAGCGTGCGAGGGGTGCTTGGGGAAAGTGGTCTCGGCGGCGATGGCCTTCTGGAAGAGCGAGAGATCATCGAGTTCGTCGGGAACGGTGATGGAGATCCGGCGGGGAGGGAGAATTCTTGGAGCCAAGAGGAAAAGCAAAGGCACAGTAACAATAAGGGTTACAGCAGGAACAAGAAGAGAAGATCTATACATGATTTGAATTCTTCAAAGTAGGAAAAGCATGAAGCTTTGGAGAAATCAAGAATGGGAATGAAGAAAAAGAAGAAGAAGAAGAAGTAAGGATTAATGAGTGGTGGGTGCCCTAGTGGCAGTGGTTTGGGCAAGGGTTGAAGATAGGGATTAGGGATTAGGATTTAGGGAGGGAGGTGTGAAAAAGACTCGACTAATAATGGGGATAGAGAAGGAGGGTAGGGATTAGGGAACTCGGGATAGGGATAGGGATGGGGATAGGGTAGATCACATTATACGGGAATGAACGATGGAGATGGAGAATGGAACCATGGAGACACAAATGAAGGGCTTTTATAAATATAAAAAATAAAATTAAAAATAGAAATGAAATCAGTATTTAAAATAACGATTCTATATGTATCACTTAAAATAGAATACAAGTTCCAAAAACATAATATTTGGACTACATATGCGTATAAGGAAATAATTAGGCTAGCAGCTCATTTACTAAACATTTTTTTACAACAGTTAATGTTATCAAACTAGTTATACCTTTTTTTACAACAACTAATATTATCAACTAATTATATCCTCTAATTAACACAATCAGCTAACAGCTAACAGTCATTTACTAATCAGAGCCTATATATATATATAACATTTTTATATTGTTTCATTAATTCATATATATAGTGTGGGTTTTGTTGTATTGTGGTGATGAGATTGGGGATGGGGGGAAGTTACAGGGAAGCAGCAGCACATGATGAAAGATGTAGATTGTACACTATGATCAGACCACAGTAATAATAGCACTGTGTACTTGGTAGGACATTGCTGTTGTACTGCAATTTCAGGCATAGATTATTCCCAAATATAAAAAAGAATCATGACGCGTTATTTAATTAATTAATATAAGATTCTTTAATTAAATAATCATAATATTTTATGTCACATGAAATTAGTGTTTTTTTACAGGATTAATTATTAATGAAAAAAGGAAAAAAACAAGGCCATAGCCCATAGTATAATAACTCAATAAGTAAACGAAAGTGTGCTGAGATTTCAACACAAATGTGAAATGTCACAACTTTTCTATAAACCAGACATGACTAAATTCTTCAACACATTTTGTTCCAAAAAATAAAAAACAAAAAATATTCAACACATTTAGAAGGAATTGAACTGGGAAATAACTGAACCTTTTTACAACAGACATGAGTAACTGGCTCTAAAAATACAATGATATCTGATGAATAAATTACAACAATACATTACTATAAATATCGAGATAAATACCATAACATCCTCATCAATCGAAATACCTCTTATCCTTGATATCTCCTACCGTAGATCCTTCAATATTTACAAAATTAAGAGGTAGGAGTGGGATCTTTGACAGTAATCTTGAAACTGATTCACGACTGCTGGGAATCAGATTTTGCAGTCTTTGGATCGTTCACGTTCAATTTTGGTTTGTCCTTTGCTTGTTTCTGTGCACTAGATGTCTTCTTCACAGCAGTTCGACTGGGTTGCCTTGTTGCTTGAGCTCCAAGGGCTGGCCCTGTTCAAATGAAGTAAAGCAAGGTAGCATCCGGTTATCATAGGAAACTGAAAATAAATTCATCAAAAGAGTGGCACCGAGAAACTATCAACTGCAGGTACAGAATGTGTCAACTATAGATACAGAATCTGACTTGAGAATTGCTGACACATAATATGATAGCTACAGGTACAGAATGTGTCAACTATAGATACAGAATTTGACTTGAGAATTGCTGACATATAATATGATAGCTACAGGTACAGAAACTATCGATTGCAGGTACAGAATCTGAAGGTTATTTTTGGACCAGGGTCTACAATGTAAGGTAGAGTCTGGTCCATGGTATAATTTGTCGGGTGTGGGGGGGGGGGGGTGGGGTGGGGGGTGGGGTGTCTTTGAAATTTAGTCTAACAGTAGAAATGAAATATTAATGTGGACAGGAAAGCAGACAAGAAAAACTGACCGCTATTAGGTAGAGACAATCTTCTCTTTCCTTGTTTATCTGAAAGGGTGGTTCTCTCTTTAGGATTGCTGTGTGACCTTGAACCAAGGGTAGGTCTTGAACTAGCTTCTTCGACGAAACCTTCCATATTTGGTTTAGAGTTTGGCGGACCACATAATGTGGTTTCTTGTGTGTTCACAGACCTATTCGGGGAAGAGCTACTGCCATTGGACTGAGATCCAACCATTTTTCCATTTGAGAGTTTCGAGTTGGTGCTTGAATGGGGTTGGGGTGGAACCATTTTCTCATTTGAAATGATAGAAGAAATTGATTTCTTGCTAACGGATTTCATCTGGTTATTGCCACCATTCTTTGGATCTCCAGATCCATTATCATGAATCTTAACTCCCTCTCTAATATTCATGTCCAGAAAGCGATTCTCCCATGGACGGACAGCCATCCATCTCTCCAACCAGTTCCATCCCCAACTACTCTTATCGGGTTCAAAACCAGCTGGTGTAGTGTGCTGCTTTGATCCTGCCTGCCACTGCACCGTAAAGACACAGATTCCCTTCAAGCCCAATCGCAATTATAGCAATATAGATAAATAATTAACTTTACGGGAAATTACTTCACGAGTTGAGTTCAAATGAGGACCAGTATATTATAGAGGACCGTGAGGACTGATGTAGTCGTGTGCCATTAGTCTGTATGTCGTGTGCATGGACGAATGTAGTCGTGTGCCATAATTTGTATGTCGTGTGCATAGGTTTGTTAATTAATAGAGCTTAGTTCGAAACCTGATGTTTACATGTATTCTTGTGTGCCATTGTGTATTAAGTTGTGTGCCTGATACTAATTTATCGTGTGCCCGTAATCAGTCCGCACAATCCTCTATATATTGTGGTCCTCATGTGAACTCAACCCATTACTTCACAAGATACTAATCAAATGGTCTTCAAATGTTGGAGCTTAGAATTTCAGGGTATTATTTAGTCTAGATCTTCCTCGAGTCGAGAAATAGTAGGCAAACCTAGTGCACAATTAGTTCCAACCGACATTTTTTATATCTTGTTTAAACATTAAAGTCACGTTAAAATCTGAGAAGGATGTGAAATGTTAACCTGGTTAGCCAAAGCATAAGCCATTGCCCTCTCACGCTTTGCTGCAGCCTCTTGTCTCTTTAACAGTTTGGATTGAATTTCTTCAACAGACCCAATGCTGTCACACCAACCTTCCTGAAATTTGGAGTAACGATGACAGAGGAAATAAGATGCATGTTTATGCTAATGACCACAAACTACCAATCTCGACTCCAATTTAGCAGGCAGGGGCGGATCTAGAAAATTTTTCGAGAGGGGGCGAAAGATTAAAACAAAAGAGATAGTTTGAAAAATAAAAATGAAACAATTAGAAGCATAGCCATAAATATTATTGGATATGGGCAAAAAATCACAACACATACTTATATCTGTATATTTTATTTATATCTAAACACGTACTATACACACACACACACACAAGGGACTACTATTATGGGGATGGGGTGGGGGAAGGGGGTGGGGGTGGGGGGGGGGGGAACTGCCCCCACTGTGGATCCGCCCGAGTTTAGGCATCAGGGGAAAATAAAAGCTCCCAATCTGCATGAACACTTTCACATCGAGAGCTTAAATCATACAAGGACAAGAACTATCATTACTATTGTGTGCATTGACAAAGCAAGCACTGATGATATAGTGGATAATCTGTGACTAAAGAAACCAAAAATTTGGACCATGTACATATGATAAAATATTGTATTCAAATTCTATGGTTAACAGCCAGATAAGAACATTAATGTGTTAGTTGCCAATATGTAAAAATGACGCTAACAATTGTTTACTAAATATTTTTCCTATCAACCCTCCCCCCGGGCCCTGACGAAAGGTTTTCACATCATTTCTCAAAGCCATGGGGCAGTAATAGTGTCCTTATGCAATACTGACAACATTGAGAAAAAGAAAGAAAATTCAAAGTGATAGCATTAGGAACTGCTTACTTCTATTTCCCGGACATGGGCTTCATGTTCTAGTTGCTGCTGAAGCTTCTGATGTGAAGTTTGACTTTCCAGTGCCATGCGAACACGCCTTGCTCGGACACGAGCTTGAACTCTTACAAGAGCTTGCATACAGCGGAGAGTGATAGCAGCTTGTTTTCTTACAGCATGCCCCCTGACTAGTGCTTGAAGTCTCACTAATCCTTTTAAAGCCCGTAGAGCTCGCCTAGCCTAAAAATTAGCACTTTTAACATTTTAAACAATATTTAAGTGTCAAAAGCAGAGAAACAATACAAGATTCAAAGTAACAACACCCTTCTTCTTCACTAACCAAATGAAAACCCTACTGCAAAGGAGGACTATGATACTTATAAACAGAAAGTTATTGATTGAATAGTAAGCGAAATAAAAAGAAACAGTCTGTGCAATGTAGATCTTTAGGAGGTTATACAAAGACCATAAGAGAAAGCAGATGCTTTCAAAGTGCAGCCACTACATGAGAGGAAAGTGGGCCAAATATTTACTTCGATATTGCATGAAGTGGCCAAGCTATTAGTCCTGCAAGGGAAATTTAACCTCCCATCCCAGATTTGCCATCATGTATGTCAAACCAATGCCACCTAATAGTACCCTCCACGTTCTTTTAGTTAATATTAAGAGTTCAGTCAGTTCACTCTTCGTACCTTTCCTCAAGTTACCATGGCTCACTCAAGGGCAAAAGCATAGATGCAAATAAAAACTAAATAGAGTTACTTCCACCAGAGGTCTCGTCTTTGGTGGCAATTCCAAATTTAGTTCCAGACTATCGTTTTTGCCATTTAACATCCCTAGACTATTATTTTTTGAACACTTTGTTACAACCATAGTGTTATTATTATTATTATTATTATTATTATTATTATTATTATTATTATAGTAGTGGGATAGCCACCTTCTTAGGTAGTTACATACACTTAGGTAGTGGGTAGTTTTATATTATTATGTATAAATACCTACCTATGTAATTGAAGAAAGGGGACTTTTGGAAATCCAGAATTTAGGCTTTCTATTAAGGAAAGATTGGGGAGAAGAAGCACTCCAGAAACGCTTCAATTCATTTGTGTTCTTAAGTTCCTAACCCTGTGACGCAATCCTAATATCCCGGTCCATAACACTAATTGAATTGGAATTTCATCTTGAAAAGGACTTTACTAAATATTGGGCCACTTAACGTGAGTATTGATTAAGAGACAGTCATTTCCCTAATAATTTATATAAGCTTTAAATGATTCCATGATAATTATCACTCTGCATGAATTATTTAGATAGTTAGGTGCATGTGCATGTAATGGCATTTAAAACTAATGTGACCGAAGTGAAATTACAAAATTAATTCCATATAAAAAACCACTGCCAAAATTTTGAATCTATAAAAGAAACAAAATAAAATCCTATATGCACATTTCACAGTAAAACTCAACCAAGCCATAAACCCAAATTCAGTTGTGTCTGCTACATGGATCGTATATCTCCATAAATGCCTATAAATGCTAAAGCCATTGTTAGCCCTGGAACTATTATACTTTATCCAAATTCATAAGAAAAGAAATACTAAATATATTTATAGAAAACTGGATCCATAAGACATATAATTAAAAGGAAGAAAAATGAGAACATAATGATTACATTAAGACTCTTTGCAGGTTGTTCAGATAAAATGAGGCAAAATCCAGGCAGCAAAAGCTAAAAGAAGATTTCAACTAAACAGAGAACAATATATCTACCAACTGACATAAGTTATGCATTAAGCGCAAGTTCAGTACCAGAAATCCTCTAAAAGCTGTTTGAATGCGTATGGCTGCCCATTCTTCTCTCATACTCTGTTGAATTTGAGGTGCATCCTCCAATTGGTGTGAGCATGAAGGTGAACCAACAGAAACCGGAGCTGAAGATACTTTGAAATCTCCAACTGATGTAGAAGCATTATCATTATGACTGAACTCACTCTGAATTAGGTCACTATCAATCTCAACAGAATGCTTTCTCCTATGCCTAGACTTTCTAGTGCCTGCACTTTTCTGCATTTGGACATAATTTCAGCATCCTTGAGAACATGTTTATTTACAGATAGAGTAACTGACTAGACAGGAACACAAAAAGATAGAGATAAAAACTAATGGTTATCAAGAAATGATGTCATAGTAACAAAATTTCCTGCTATAAATCAGCAATCTTATCAAGAAATGCTCTTTAATTTTGGGTAAACATCTTGGGAAATAGCATATTGAGAAAAATGGATAAATCTCATGGCTTGCCTACTCAGGCTGGTGAATTTTAAATAAGCATCCATTAGAGTGTAGGATCTCAGTATCTAGAAGGTAGGAGTAGAATTTAATGCAATTTTAAGGGACATTACTGGGCACGTAGAAGGGATTTGTTTAAAATGTTATTAAAGAAAAATGAAAATAAAAAATATCAAAAGTGTCACTAGGTAGCTAAAGAAAACACACACTCTATTTGTAATGTAATATATGGAATAAAATAATTTTAGCCAGGTGAGGCATATATAATATAATATGATGTTTTTATATAACTGTTAGGTTTTGCTAAATTGGAAAAGATTTAGGAGAAAATAAAAATAAATCTATTGGGAGACAAATAGCATTTTTAAGAAGATGACACACATTTCCATCCTTTTCAGTTGCAAGTGATTTCTCAGGTCTTTTCAAACCAATCAGTGACCTAATCCACTTCCCTGAAACTCCCATGGTAAAGTTGCTTCAGCTCTACCAACCTCAAACCTGAAGCAGAAAATCTTAAGAAATTTAGTAATTCACCAAGTTGATATATACTTATTAAGAAGAACGGACAGATAACAGCAAAAAGATAATCAGCAATTCTTTAAAGGACACCTGTTGTTTAAAAACTGGCTGCTTAAAAGAAAAGTACTCTCTAAAAGGAAGAAATGCAGAAGGGGCAGTGCAATTCCACAAACAAATAATAACATTCAAACCAGGGTAGGCTTCAAAAGAGCTTAATGCAGAACCATGTTAATCTTAAAGATTTTACCTACCAAACGAAGAGAGACTAGCACTTCCCCATTCTATTTTCTATTGAACATCTCCCTTTTGGAACGTCACAACAATGTTTGATGTTCTTTTGTCAATGATAGGGCCATTTTTCAGTTTCAAGAATTAAAATTTCAATAAAAAAGCAAAGTGAACTATATACAATCTTAATCTTTGTCCTCAAAACAAACATTATATACAAGTGTATTAGAGCAAGTAAAATTCTATAATTCTATTGCATTAAGTTCACAACTAATAGGACTCTATTCATTGCCCTCAACATTAACAAAGACTTTGAGAGCAAAAAGTGCAATAAAGTGAGTAGGTGACTATTGCTTTAAGCACAAGGCAAAGCAGATCAGTTTTTTCAGACTAAAGCAAAACGATGGGGACAAAAAGTTTGTATGTTTCTCAAACCAACTGTTTCAACACCAAAACACTCTTTATATTTAAAGCAAATGCATAAAATTTTGGAACAATCTGTGATGTCGAGTAGGATAATCATGTTCTCATGTAAACCTTGTATTAATTTAAGAAAATGACACAGTTACATTTTCTACTGAATCAAGCTGGCATAATAATGCAAATTTTTAACAAAACCAAAAGAGAGTAAGTAGCTTTTTCTGTCTGTTAACCTGCCAACCAAAAGGCATAACCCATTACACAATAGTCAAAACCATACTCAATATTCAATAGAACATAAGATTTATTTATTTATTTTTATAAAAAGATAACTTCTAGCATGTATCCAAATTCAGCATTTATCTGATACTGAATTTCTAAAATGGTTTTAGAGGTGCAGATTACTTGAGTGCTAGCTCTATTACTGCTTAAATGATTCTGGTAATTGTTGATACTTGTAGATGAGAGAATGAAAGTTCCTTTAAAGAAAGTGCTCTAGTTAGTCCAATTTCTACATTTAATTCACAGGATTTTCTACTGGGTTACCTGAATAAAGGAAGAAGAAAAGCAGCAAACAGGATAAAGAAAGAAAACTGAGAAGAGATAAAGGAGGATAAAATAAGAGGATTAGGAAAAGAAAAAAGAAGCAGCAGACTGAAATAACCAAAAAGAGAGAAAAAGTAAAACAAACAAATTAGTAGAAGAAATAACAGAAAAAATCCAAGCAGTGTAGAGGAAGCAATGCAGAAGAGGAGATCAGGAGAAGAAAAGAAATCCAAAAAATCATAAAAGAAAAATGATGAAAAACAAGCTAAGGAAAAGAAATCTAACTTCAGAAAGAAGAAGAAGGCAGCTGGCTGCTGCTAGAGAAGAAAAAATGAGAAAAGGGGGCATTCTTTAGCCATAAGAACACCCCTAACTTATACTTTTCACCATTGATTTGCCTTTGACTGTCTGACTTCAATGAATTGGACTGCTTCATGGAAAAAAACACAGAAAGCAACTGTTTTTTTCCTCACTTCATAGAAATGAATTGACTTTGTGTCACTTCTCTTTCTTAAAGGGAAGTGATTTCTTTTAATGAGTGCAGCAGATGTAAGCTAGACTGGAAGCTGAAATAATCCACATTAGTGAAAGTCGTTGTCATGCAAAGTTAGACTGTGCAATGTAAGCAAAGATGGAAGCTGAGATAATCCACAAGGATAATGAGTGAAACAGATGAAAATTCAGAAACTACTGAATGGTAGGCAGTAGTCGTGATAGAGCCAAACAAGCAGTTAAAGGGACATTATTACATCCATATCTATGAAATTGAAAGCTCTTGCACTATAGGTCAAGGAAAAAATTTGAAAGTTCTAGGCATTTTATGTGGAACTGAAGTTTTCCTCATTTACAGCCAAAAAAAAAAAAAAAAGTGTCTGGATAAGCATCCTTCTCAATAGTTCTTCTAAGGCATGCAAATGCTATAGCTCTTTCCATGTAATCTTTTGGTCGAGTAATCAATGGTGCAACTAGAAAAATGATGATATGATATTGTTGAAGCATTAAATTAGTCTAGAAAACCATAGGAAAAACCTTGTGCAAATAGCTTCTTGTTGGGATTGAACTTTGCCATCATGCCTTCGAGGGCCAATCAGCAAAAGATTTTTTCCAAGATACAGTTCTATTTTGAACCCTTAAGCCCTTCAATTACTTCATACCATGCACAGTTTTCTGCAACTACTTTCCCTGTGTATGCTTCTATATATTCTCAGCAATTATGTATTAGATTAATATTTATTAATGTCTATCATAGTGTCATATGCCACATTGTGAATGATAAGAAAAGTGAGTTGTACTTCAAATCTTCTAGTAATACTTGAAAACCTCGTGCCTAGCATTTAGGGTTACAAGATGGCATTATGCGGCATAAGGAGTTAGTTGCAACAACAAGTTGAATTGGTGATTAATTATGGATATGCCACAGGGAGCTCCTAAGATTATGCAGTCATGGAACGAAGCTAAAATCCTAATATTGGTTGTTTGTAATGCATATAATCAAACGCATGCAAAACTCAATATTTCCCAGCCTCACCTAACTAGAACTAGCTATTTAAGGCAAAGTTTCTAACTTTCTTCCGCTAATGCGGCAAATTTTCACTCCGTACCAAGCCCCAGCTCGCATTCCACAATTCACTACTTGAGGGAAGTAATACCAGTTCAATAATTCATCAAGAAACACAGTCCAAATTAAAAGTGAAAGGAAACCCAATATCCGATTCGAATTTCGAACACAAGAATTGGGAACTCAACTCAGCGGCAACAATGCAGATCTATAGACACATAACTCATCAAAGTGCATGAATTGCTTGTATGCTCCCAACATAAACACGAAGAAAACCACAAAGAATTTGAAGAGTCAAAGTACAGAGAGAGAGGGAGGGAAAGAACCTTATTGTCGGTTGAGTAGACCGATCGATCAGCCAATGATCTAGTCAGGGGAAAGTCAAATCTGGAGTTAACCCAGTTCTCATTTTTCCGGCAATCGGATTTAGTAGAATTGAGATGATTCAGAGGTGAAATCGGAGGATTTTTCTTAGCTTCTTGATAGGAACTTCAAGTAAAGGAGTGTTGAGTGTGGTGCCAGCTAATGTCAGCTTGGTGGTAGGGAAGCCAACGGCGTCGTTTAGAAGCTGTGACGTTGGGTCGTTGTCGTGTATCGGTGTGTGTGACCAAAAGTCAATAACGGGATTTTCATCGGTTTGGGAAATCGGAAATTGGAATTTTGGTTTAGAGAACAAAATATACAATGAATGAAATTTAAATTTTAATATATAAACAAGTTTTATATTTCATTTGATGAAATATTTTAAGAATGAGAGTATTTAATTTATCTATGTGAATTTTTTTCATAATATCTTAAAATTTATAACTCAATAAAAAAGTTTAATTTCGATCATTGCCAATTGGCAATGATTGGAATTGTTTGACTGTGATTAGGAATAGTCAATAAAAGAAAAATAATTCTATTCAGAGTAACAGTCACCCTTCTAAAACGCTTAACTTGTGTGTTATCAAAACGCGCATGTAGGGCATAGGCATAGCTTCAAACGCTATGCAATTGTTAGAACAACATCATCTGGCCAAGTTTTTCATAAATTTTGAGGTGCCAAGTGGGATATAGATGTAGGGAAAAGAGCAAAAAAAAAAAATAAATAAATAAAATACAAAAATTGACGGGTGCATTGCACACATCTGCGGCGTTGGGCATTTTTTTCTTCTTTACAAACGGACAATGAGTCCATTAATAACTCTCATTTGCAGTAATTTTTTTTTATTCTCTCTACTCACATCTCTCTCCACCACCTATGCTTATAGATTGAAAAACTCCACACACAAAAAATTCTATTTTGGGGTTCGTTGCTCTTATTTTCTTTTCTCAAAAAACCTATACTTGCATGAGAAAAAAAAAAATTCTCCAAAAACCTCATCTCTAGCTAACAGTCAAAATCCCAAGTTGAAGTTCTTTTGTCATAAAAAAAGAAAAAAAAAACTTGTTCAAAAAACATTGATAGGAAAGCTCTTAGATTTTTTTTTTTTAATTTTATATTACTAAAGCTCCTTGGTCTAATTAAGAATTTGACAATATTTTATTAAGGCGATTTTGTGAACGACCCTTAATGAAGATGACTTGTAGTGAAAAATGTACAACTTAGTATTTTTTTTTTACCAAAATTGATCATTTTTCTTTTGATTAGAATGAGTATTTTTTGTTAACTTCATTTTTTCTTGATAGCCAAACACTGAAAAGTTCAAAAAATAATTTCTGAAAGTCATTTTTAAATTTGTAAATGTACCATTAATGTGTTTTCAAAAAAAAAAAAGTACCATTAATGTGTTCTTAAATTAATGACATTTGTACACACAGATATACGCAAAATTATTTTTATATATCTAAAAAATAGGGATTCAATTTATTAATATCTTTTCTCTAGAACTAGAACTCCAATCTATAACGTTCAATTCTAAAGATCATAAATCATCTGTACTAATACAATTTTTTTTTTAAATACATGAAAGTAACAAAAAAAAAAAAAGTACCATTAATGTGTTCTTAAATTAATGACATTTGTACACACAAATATACGCAAAATTATTTTTATATATCTAAAAAATAGGGATTCAATTTATTAATATCTTTTCTCTAAAACTCCAATCTATAACGTTCAATTCTAAAGATCATAAATCATCTGTACTAATACAATTTTTTTTTTTAAATACATGAAAGTAACAAAAGAAAAAATCATAAATTATGTTCACACTATTGGGGATCTTAAAAAAAGTGCAAACCACTATGAATATTGACTGATCAATCATTTTTTAGTTGATTCGATTAATTTTAATTGTTTGACTTATTCAAACATTTAAAATTAGTATTTGATAAAATAGCTTATAGGTATAGCTGATTGGGGCAATTAGCTGATTTTCAAAAAGCTATTGAAGTAGCGTTTTGCGAATGCCAAAATTTTTAACTGGTCAGAATGTATAGCAATCCATCCAATTACCATAATAATTATTTGTTCCCTCCCCATGAATTTATGTTATGGATATAAAATGGGCAAATTATATTATTGACGAATAGTTATGCTGTGCAACCGTGTGAACCATGCATGGTGCACACGGTTGTAAAACGACGTCGTTTTTAATTAAAAATGTGCGTTCAATTTAAAAAAAAAACAGTTTCGATTCCCCTCAACAGTTTATGTTGTTCATTCATTGTGGATTTTTAGTTCATTCATTGTGGATATTTAGTTCATTCATTATGGATATTTAGTTCATTCATTGTGAATATTTAGTTCATTCATTCTGGATTTTGTGTTATTCATTCACTATGGATATATAGTTATGAATTTGTGGATATATAGTTATGAATTTGTGGATATATAATTCAAATTATGTACAAAATAATGCTATTGTCATGAAGGAGTGCGCCGATTACGGATATATAGTTATGAATTTGTGAATATATAATTCAAATTATGCACAAAATAATGCTATTGTCATGAAGGAGTGCGCCGATTACGCCAGGAGTTGCGAGACCTGCCAGCACTTCCAGGTCACCCCCAGCCGACCAGCCACGAGCTACACCCCCATCAGGTCGGTCATCCCCTTATCCAGGTGGGGAGTAGACCTAGTGGGAGCTCTGCCCATGGGGTCGGGAAAAAGGAAGTACCTCATAGTTGCAGTGGACTACTTTACCAAGTGGGTAGAGGCGGAACCACTAGCAACCATAACAAGCGCCCGCTGCAAGCACTTCGTGTACAAAAACATTTTGTGCCGTTTTGGGGTCTCGATGCAACTCATCACCGAAAACGGACACCAATTCGATGGGCAAGAGTTCGAGGGGTTCTGTGCAGAATGGCACATTACTCACAGCCGGGTGGCCGTGTGCTACCCTGAAGCAAATGGGCAGGTGGAAAATGCCAATCGCACCATAGTGGGCGGCCTGAAAAAGAAACTGGAATCCGCGGGTGGAGCGTGGGTGGAGGAGCTCGACGCTATTCTTTGGGCATATCGCACCACCCCCCGGAGGGCTACTGAGGAGACACTTTTTTCCTTAGCCTACGGTTCCAAAGCCCGAGCTCCAGCGGAGGTATTCATACCTTCTCGGCGAGAGGAGGACTACGACCCCGACACAAACGAAGAACACTATAGAATTGACATCCACCTGATTGATGACAGGCGCGAAGCAGCTACGATCCGAGCTGAAAACTACCAAAGGCAGACCAAAGCATACCATGATAAGCGGGTCCGACCCCGCTATTTTCAAGTGGATGACTATGTGCTCAGGAGGAGGGAGGCGAGCCAGCCCCAAGCCGGAGGAAAGTTTGCCACTAATTGGGAGGGCCCGTACATTGTAGCAGTCGTGGTCCGCCCGGGCAGCTACAAGCTCAAAGCTCCCAAAGGAAAGATGATAGCCAGGGCCTGGAACTCAGAGCATCTGCTGAAATTCTACCAGTAGACCTACCACGTGAGAGGTGGGTCTTGGCGTTGCTATTCTAGGAGGATGACAATTCCCCTCCCCCAATAATGTCTTAGTGAGCGGCAGTAGTCGGAATAAAATCGCATGTTACGAAATACATTGTGCGCAGGACCTTTTGTTACAAAGTTGGTTCTCATGCATTTTCTCTCCCTTAAAAAGAAAAAAAAGAAGAAGAAAAAATCATGAAACAGGGGGGAATGAGTGCTCACTCATGTCTTCTCCCCCCGCGAACCCTAAGGGGCCACGAGGTCTGACCTCGCGTACCAACCCAGACGGAGGACGCACCCTAAGGGGGCACGAGGGCCGACCTCGCGTACAAACCCCGACGGAAGAGCCCGGTGGCACAGTCCTGCCGGACTATGCCCGAGCAGCTAACACGCACCCGAAGGGGGAACGAGGTCTAACCTCGCGTACAAACCCCGACGGAGGAGCCCGGTGGCTTGGTCCGACAAGACTGGGCCCGAGCGGTTTTGCGCACCTTAAGGGGGCACGAGGTCCGACCTCGCTTACAAACCCCGACGGAAGAGCCCGGTGGCGTAGTCCGAAAGGACTTAGCCCGAGCGGCTAACGTACCCTAAGGGGGCACGAGGTCCAACCTCGCGTACCAACCCCAATGGGAGAGCCCGATGACATAGTCTCGTAGGACTATGTTGAAGAGGCTAACACATGGCCAAAAAAAAAAAAAAAAAATTTAGGCCTAACGCACCTCGGCACAACACCGGGGTGCACCGTGGTCGCACCTCGGCACGTTGCCGAGGTGCACCATGGCACCACCTCGGCAGCATGCCGAGGTCCACCCGTGCCACACCTCGGTACGCGGCCGAGGCTCAGCTCGGCACGCTGCCGAGGTCTACCTCGGCACGCTACCGAGGCCCACCTCGGCGAGCTTGAGGTCCACCTCGGCCGGTGCCGGGGTGGCCAAAAAAAAAAAAAAAACACAAGTATTCCAAAGAAAGGCAATAGCAGGTAAAAGGTGGCAACCATCACATCAACAAAGCGAAGGAGCCAAGTGTTCATTCAAAATATTCAAAAAATATCCAAGTCTAGTACATCACCAAGGGAGAATAAGGTCAGCTACTTTGAGCTCGGGCCACGTGCGTGAGGAAGGTCGGGGCGCGGAGCAAACCCACCCGGGGGGAGCGGAGCAAGGAGGTGGAGCGGTCCAAGACGTCTCACCTCAACCCAAGACGTCTCACCTCGGCCCAAGACGTCTCACCTCGGCCTAAGGCACCTCGGCACAAGGCACCTCGGCTTAGGACACCTCGACTCAAGACGCCTCGGCACAAGGCACCTCGGCCATGGTGAGCTCGGCTACATTCGCACATGGAGGTCGGGTCCGGATATGTACTCTCATTCGTTGATTTCCACTCGCAACGAACAGAGTGGGGGACTCATGATGGATATATTATACACACGACCCGACTCGGGGTAGCAACGCGGACTCGGAGCACCACATTGGAGCCTAAGAGCAACACGGACCCGGAGCACCACGGAGGTGCCCCGACACGAGCTCGGCTCATAGCGGGCTCGGGTAGGGTAGCTCGGCATCTCCCGAGCTCGGCACCACTCGAGCTCGGG